CACACACACACACACACACACACACACACACACACACACACACACACACACACACAAAACTAATACATGAGGAATCACTTCACAGTTCACAAAACCAGTCATAAGGGTCAATTTTTTGAAATTGAGATTTATACACCATCTAAAAGCTGAATAAATAAGCGTTCCATTGATGTTTGGTTTGTTATCGGACAATGTGTATAAGTGATAAGACAATATTTGGCCGAGATACAACTATTTGAAAATCTGGAATCTGAGGGTGCAAAAAAATCTAAATATTGAGAAAATCATCTTTAAAGTTGTCCAAATGAAGTGCTCCGACTGGTTTTGTGCTCCAGGGTCACATATAAGGGTCACCGTAACACCCGGTCATTACTGCAAAATAAACCCTAATGTGAAGCTGCTGACTGAACAAACACTGTAATAATTTTATATTATTATTATCATCATTATTATTATTAATGCTTCTCAGCTTTACTCAACATATGTGCAACATATTTTATATTACTACTAGCACTACTAATATGCTGCTCAGCCATACTCTGTGCAACATAATATTTAATAATAGTAATAATAATAATATGCTGATCAGCTTTACTCCGTGCAACATATTATTTTCAAATAGCAATACTACTACTACTACTACTACTAATAATAATGTGGTACTCTGCTGGTATTATTTTCAAACAACAACCACAACAACACTAATAATAATTGTATTATTTGAACACATAACCATTCGCCCAAGCTGCTGATTCCTTTACTTGGCTCTTGTGACTAAAGGTGAAAATCACTCACCGGTCATCCACTTCTAAAAAGACACAGCCTGGTGAGTGAGTCGTGCTGAAAATGCGCTTGTCCATGGGAATGCGAGGGGCTGGAGACAAAGCAACAAGCAAACAAACCAAAATAGTGATCATTAGATCAGACAGCCAAAAGTAAAAGCAAAAAAGACAAACAGGTAACATATTGAGGTCATGTGTCAAAGTACTATACTACTGTTTCAGAACGTGGCGGGGTGAAAGGTCACGCGGCTCGTACCCTCATATCCTGAGATGATGCGTTCGGCCAGGGCCAGACAGCACGGCTCCTCCTCTGCTCTCGATCCCTGAACCTTCAGCAGGTACGGAGTGATCCGGAACGGACTATAACGCATTTCTCCATCTCTATCTTTCCCTCCTCTGAACACAGACACACACACACATAAAACGTTCAAAAATATTATCAGTCTGACTCCACTGACAACAGAGAGAGCAAAAATTTAACTAAATTGAATTGCATAATGACGCTATTATCTTCTATAGAGCTGCATTATAGATTAAATAAGTTGGTGTCATAATATAATGGAGCTCAACTGAATCAACATTGAACTGAGCTGAATAATGAAACCGTCTTCTGTAGAGCTGCTTTACAGCTGAAATTGTATGTTTAACTTTGCTATTTTCTTGTTTATTACTGTGAAGCTGCTTTGAAACAATCTGTACGGTATAAAGTGCTATATTAATACATGCAATGTGATTTGACATAATGAGATATCAGATTAGAATGAGTAGTAATGAACTGCAATTTAAAAGTCCACAGGAAGTAGAAATTAAGACATAAATAATGATCTTATGAGGTGAAACGCACTCACCTGATTCGACAGAAGAAGGACTTGACCTGGGCACATTTATACAGAACCGCCGCTACAGAGAGACAAAGACGAATAACGTTTTTCATTCCTAAATCGAACATTTTCTACTGACCTACCTACATTTTTCAAAGAAGTTTGCATGATTAAATGTATGTGCAATATCAGCGAAATGATTCATAACTGGAGCTTTAAACTGGAATTTTACAGTTCCAGAGCGCCTCACCGCTGTCTGTGCCCACGTTCCAGGGCGGCAGTCGTGGCTGCGCCGTGTGCGAGTAAAACACATTGACGTCCTGATGGTACAGCAGCTCCACGAACTTGGCAGATTCCAGAAACTTCCTCTTGCAGTGAAGCACGCTGGAGGCCTGTTCAGACGCGTAAACCACCTTCCCGGAGGCCTGAGAGAAGACCACCACAAACGTGTCCTAAAAAACACAAGAGAACTGTCCGTGAACGCCTCGTACCCACAGCGACGGCACTCATTAAAGGGCTAGTTCACCCAAAAATAAAACTTCTGCCATCATTTACTCACTCTCAAGTTGTTCAAAACCTCTGAGTTTATTTACAGATATTTTGAAGAATGTTGGAATACTATGGAAGTCAATGGCTACCAGCAACTGTTTGGTTACCAACATTCTTCAGAACATCTTCTTTTATGTTCAAAAGACGAAAAGACTCGTACAGGCTTGGAAACCTGAGGATGAGTAAATGATGACAGAATTTTCATTTTTTGTGTCAATGATCCCTTTAAGGCAAGAAAACACAGGTGAATAGGGTAAAAAAAAAAAAACTAATAGATATCAACCAATTGATTGATTACATTAAGAATTGCAAAATCATTTTATTTTTAATTGTACATTTTCTGAAATTTTTAAATATACATTATCTATTTAAATATGTACCAATTTGCATACCTTTCCAAAACATAAATCTGAACACTGGATATAGCCAGGTTCAAAATATTGAATTTTGACGACATTTTAAATTAAAAGATTTTTACAAAGTGGATTTTGAATATCTCTTTTTATCACTCTATAAATCAGAATATACTGTCAACAGACAGAAAAAAGTATATTTTCACTATGTTTCAAGGAATAAAATGTTGTATAAAATCAGGCAAATGCTATATGAACGACCCAGAGTTATTTTAGTATCATTGAGATGCTATTAAAGTTTTTGTTAATATTTTTAATTACATTTTTTCTTTCATGTTCATTTTAGTAGTAATTTAGTTGAGTGTTTTTGTAGTTTCTAAATACGTCTACATAATTTGTATTAATTATTTCAGTTTTAGTTAAGCACATCAAGTTAAACTAAAGAAATGCAAGTTAAACTAAAGTTTAAGTATATATATATATATATATATATATATATATTATATTTTACATTTATTTTATTTCAAGTAGTGACTTATTTATTTTTATGATTTTAGTTTTAATTTTATTTTTAGCCAACTATAATAACTCTGGAACAAACCCCAGTGTAAGAACATTCAGAATATAGATAGAAACAAAATCATAAAGTTTGGTGCTGCTGCAAAGGAGATTTCTGACTTTTGAAAACCTTTAAATATAGGCCTTGTAATTAAAATCTACAGATGCAAATAGATACAAGTATATTTTGGATGTTTTTTATCCACTAGTCTGAACAACACGTTATGAAAAGCCAAATAGTCCAAAACCTCAAAATGACCAGTTCATGAAAAAAACACAGTTTTGCCTGTAGTGTCTTGCATTAAGTCTTTCAGAGGAAACGGAGCAGGACATACAGTGTTTTTCAGCGTGTGTTCTGAAGTGATTCCCTCCAGCTCCTCCAGCGAGCACACAGTAGCTTCTCGTCTCTTCTCCAGTCCGCTGCTCATTAGTAAGTTGTAGTACTCGCTGTTTGCTGCAGGGGGCGTCAGAGGAAGTGTAAAAAATGAGCCACAATCCAGTTAATCAGTGTTTAATCAGTGTTTGGCTTAAACAACAGAGCAGGTGGCTCACAAGAGATCATGCCAGATATTACAACACCAATTTCACATAGCATTACATCATAGACTGACTATTGACATTTATTTCAAATGATGGCAAACAGAAATAAACAACCATAGGCACTAAAGAAGCTTTAATTAATGCTACTAAAATAGATTTAATTAATAAAACAAAATGCATAATGATTAAATCCCTTAAAATATTACCAAAATTTTACACTACAGTTATTGTTTCTACATAAACTCAATGCAAAAACTTTTTTCTGCAATCCTGCCATTCAGTTATGACAAAATTGCAGTACATTGTGCAAAACAAAACACAAGTTTGCAGAACTTGCATCAAACCTATAGCAACACAACAACAGTTCTGTCAGGACCACTATCGTCAAAATGATAGATACTTAGCATAAAGTTTGGTTTGGCGGTATGGTTCTGTTCTGGGCAAAAAACTCCCTGCCCATCCATGCAGCCTGTCATGAATGAGCAGGGAGAGCAGCAATAATAACCCCCCTAGGGTTAACAGAACAGAACAAGGCAGATATCATTAATGTACTTTAATGATATTTAAGTGTAACACTTTATTCAAGATAAAGGAGTCTGATTAGCAAGGAATATCAGAAAGCCAAGTCCTGACTGTGGCGAAAGGAGGAGCTGGGGATGGAGGAGGCTAATTTGCTCCTGAGCAAGCTGAAAAGCTGCTGAATAATACTGAATAGAGCTTATATAGGAATGCCACAACAGGTGTCGTATTCCTATAGGTAGATGTGATCAGCTGAGAATCAGCTGATGCAAGCTTGACTCACGTGACCTGCCAGAACTAACGCTAACGCTTAATTTATGTCGCGAAAGCTTATGTGTGAGTGAAAATATGAACTTTCTGCACATTTGTGGCAAAAAAATAAAAAATAAATAAAACAACAAATATTCTGAAAGCTTCTTACACTACTGTTAAAACTGCAATTTATCTCATTAAAACAATCCCTCTGTGGTGTTTTAGCAGATTTCCTTGCATAAGCGACATTAAAGTGGCATTTTTAAACTGAACTTTTTCCAAGTGATAACTGTAGTCTATAGGACTTTCTTCGGGCATATCAGAAAACTTGTTGTTTGAACAACCATACATTATTTCAGACATTAAGAAGCTACTTACAACAAATAAGTGATCAAAACATATCAAGTATGAATGATTCAGTAGAAAGTTTCCTGTGTTTTGGTGACTGATATTGTAGCAATAGTGTCATCAGAACATCTGCTGTGGTTCAATGAGGGCAACATTGTAAACTAAACATAATGAAACAAAGATTTATTTTTTTTTTGAGAAGTTTAGATTTTTTATTAGAAGCTCATAATCACGTTTTTATCTGAAATAAAATAAAATATAAAACAATTAAAATAAAATATTTAGTTTTTGGTCTTTGACTTTTTTTAGTTTACTATAAAGTTTACTAAAATAGCCCAAATATTCAAAACTTCATGTTTGGATGTTTTGATTCTGTTGCTACTACGAGAATCTATACCCCAAAAAACAGCAAATACAGCGTGTTGAGTTTCACAATTACTTAACGACATGACGCACATGATGACCTCATGCAGAAGCTATCAGCATCTGCCCAGATCATCTTAATACAGGCGTTATACTGTAAGAAGTATTTGATGCAGCGATAAACATGGGAAAGCGCTGATGAATGAAAGCACTACGTGCACGAACACCGTGAACAGATTTAGCAGCGAGCGGTTAGGACCTTCCTGCAGACGCAGCTAACAGGCTGTTACATAATCACAGACGTTCTGCTTGGACCTGAATGTGTGCTGCCGTTCTAACAGGAGTCCCTCTAGTGGCTTTATGCTTTGAGTGTGTGTGTGTGTGTGTGTGTGTGTAAGTGTATGTATGCCCATTATGAGGACCTAATGTCCTCATTTTTTTGGTCTCCATGAGGAAAAAAAGCTTATAAATCATACAGAATGAAGTTTTTTGAAAATCTAAAAATGTTGAAAGTTTTGTGTGAGGTGTAGGTTTAGGGGGATAGAAAATACAGTTTGTACAGTTATAAAAACCATTACACCTATGAAAACATTGAAAGCAGTGTATGTGTACCTTGTACTTGTTTGACACAGTTCAGTGCGTGGTTCAGTGCCTCCACCGTACTGGCTTTACTGCGGCTTCTCTTCTCCGACGGCAGCCGTTTCTTCATCTCCTGCACCATCTGCATCATCTCTCGGTGTGTCTGCTCACGGCCGTGCTCCATCTGTTCACTGCACATGCACACGCTTGTTTTTGTTTAAGAATTCACATTCATTATAACTTTAACCTAATTTCAATTAATGATATATGGAAGCCAATTTCTGCCACATAAGAAAATGTGTTGGAAAACCAATATGACGACTAAAGTTGAAAGTATGAGATACTAAGTCATAATTCTGAAATAAAAAGTTACCTGGCTAAGACTTTTTATATCAATTTCAACTTTTTGTCAATTTATCTAATAATTATGACTTATAAAATGTCATAATTGTAACAAAAAAAATCTACTTGTGTCAAATTCGACTTAAGTCATAATTATGATTTAACAAAGCATGATTTTGTTGTGTGATGGAAATATGCTTCCATAATTTTAATAGGTATATGGATGTAGAAATTATTTGAAAATTGTGACTATGCCTTTTTAGCTCATAATTTCAACTCTTTATTAATTTTTCAACTTTTCTCATAAGTGATGTCACTTTTGACTCTTTATTAAAAAAAAAGTTTAAAAAGTAATTCTCAATGTTATATAGATATTTTATCTCATGATTTTGACTTTTTATGTCAGAAGTATGATTTAGTAATGATTTTGTTATGTGGGCAAAATTTCTTCCTTTTTCTCATAATTTCAACTTTTTGTCAATTTATCTCATAATTCACTTGGTATGTCAATAACGACTTTTAATCTCATAAAAAGTCATAATTATGACAAAAAGTTCACCTTCAGACGTTTTATATTATAATTTCAACTTGGGTCATAATTATGACTTTTTATGAATTTTTTTATTCTTATTGGTTTAACAAAGCATGATTTTGTTTTCTTATGTGTTGCGGAATTGGGCTTCCATAATTCTAATAACTTATATAGGTTAAGAAATTATATGACAAATGAAGGGATTTTACTATATTTTTATAATACTGTAAATAGGTTACTGTAAAATTCAGTTGTTGAGCAAATTTGAAGCGAGTTAGTTTACCTGCACTCTGTGTGATGAGCGCTGTGAAAACTGGACGATGAGGAACCAGTGGCAGATTTTGAGCTGAACACACAAAGAGACGAAGGAGCACTTGATTTAACCAGAAGTCTAATATTACACACAAAATGACACAATCATGTGGTTGCAAATTGCTGGTTTCATTTAGAACTGAGCTTTCAAAGCAACCGATTCCTACCTTTTAAATCAGGAAGAAAGAAAACACTCAAATGGGACTTGCAAAAGTTGACTACTCACAGTTAGGAGTTTGTTCAAATCACTAACCTTCGGCATGAGCATTATAATTGTGATTCTTGTACCTCTTGGTTCTTCCTGATCCTATGGTGCTTCCAGGGCTGCAATTGGCCGAGGAACGATGATGTCGTGAGCCCCTGACACTGTCGTTTCCGCTGCTGGAGTCGTGACCGCTGTTCATGTCCACATCCTCGTGCGTCTGCTCTCCTCTGCTCTCCTCACAGCCCGCTGAGCTTTCCCCTCTGCTGGTCCTTCCTCGCTGCTTCTCAGCTTCCTCCTCCTCACCTGAACCCGATCCGGACCCGGACCCTGATCCGCTGGTCCCGGGGTCCTGCCCACTGGTAGCTTGGTCCGTCTGCTCCAAACGCTTGCTGGAGCCTGGAGAAGAGTTCTCCTCTTCTCCATCGGGAAAGCCGTCTCCTCCCAGCATTCCCCGCAAGTTCTCCTCCGACCACTGCCCACCTCTACTGAAGCTCTGATCCAGAATCTAGACGCTCCGCTGCTTTTGTCCACATTAACAATGAAGGTCTATAGAGAAACCCATGGGGATGATGATGATGTTTTACTAGGTGGTTACATACAGTCTTCCATTGAAAGAACTGCAAAAGAAACACAGATAAATGTCAGAACCACTAAAAGTGTGTGTGTGTGTGTGTGTGTGTGTGTGTAAATAAATAAATAAATGTAAATAAATAAATAAATACATATGAATATTTAATATATTTTATTTCAAATCTTTCAAATGAACATTTAGAAATATTTAATATATTTTAATAATATATTTTATTTCAAATACATTACAAATGTACAATTTTATATATATATATATATATATATATATTGTATCATTTTGTGTATATTGAAATAATATTTACTATAATATAATATATTTTTTTAAACTATACTTTATATTTACCCAGAAAAAGCATTTTAAGATCGACAATGTATATATATTTTTTCCTCCTTTTCATAATATATTTTAGCATTTGAAGCTCTAAACATTTAATTTTCGATTTGGAAAATATGTTTTCTTTAACCGTGCTTTTTACAATGTATATTAATTGAAATATAATTTGACCATGGTACATCAATATGATGCATTATGCTTTTCAGAGGAGGTTACATACATTGCCTAGGACAAAATAAGCAAGAAAACAACAAATTCAACACATTGCATCTCATTAACGACTGGAATTATTTTATTATGAAGATGAGGTGTTGTTTTGCACATGCAGCACAAGATGGCCAAATGTGAACATAATCATATGAGCTTTCATGCTAAAAAACAACACAAAAGCCTGATGGCACTTTGGACAAAGATAACCAATGAAGTGTATAAATTGTTTATCTTTGTCCAAAGTGCCTCATAAGTACATTTATTAGAGGTAAAGTGTTTTTAACACAAAAAAGAACAGACGATCTCTGTAATTTCAGACATCAAATCTTTCATCCGACAACCTTCAGACTACATTTTTGCAATTTATGCAGATCATTTTATTATTTGTCAGACAAAAACTGGAAGTCTGATTACTTATAAGTATGCATCAAAGTTTAATATTTCGGGTTATGAATTTGTTCTGGCTTCACAAACATCACTAAATACCAGATCATTTTCATCAAATGTTTTGGCTTGCATATCTCTTGTCTGGACACACGGTGCTGACGTCTCGCTTTTGATATTCTAGGGTCGTGACCTGTCTGTGTAACGACTGCTGACGTTTCTACAGCGACTCTGACGCAATCATTCTCAAAATAGGATGTGTCAGAGTAGGACTGAGTCAGGTATTAAAACTCGGGTTTTAAAAATGACAAAATAGACTTGCTGGACCTCAATTTGCTGCACAATTCAGACAGACCTCCCAGCTAATTCTAAAACACACAGGCTTCAGTTAGAAACGGTCCTGCAGAAGCTCTAGGCAAGGTTATTATAGTTAGCTAAAGCTGAAATAAAACCATTTTTGTTACTCAAAATAAAAATAAAAATTCGGCTAGTTGCCAAGGCACCATTTCACATCTTCAGTTAGTTTATCTAAATGTACTAAAATAATTACAACTAAAACTGAAATTAAAAAAAAGAAAAACATATAGACATAAAAATAAACTAATAAAAATGACAAAAGCGCACAACAAAATTGCTACAACCTAAAAATGTAAATGTAGGGCTGCCACTAACGACTATTTTTATTTCGATTAATCTATCAACTAATTTATCGATTAATCTAAATGATTAATTCCCCCCACAAAAAAAATCAACAATTTTTCTTAAGAATATTTTATTAAACTATATTTTATTAAACCAAATGAAATACAAAATTTCTATGAAATCCTTTTTTTAAAGCAAAAGTAAAGTGCAACATAGAGTGCAAGAAGTGTCCATCTCATAGTCCAAATCACTGAAATCAAAGTTCAGTACTATACAGGTGCATCTCAATAAATTAGAATGTCATGGAAAAGTTCATTTATTTCAGTAATTCAACTCAAATTGTGAAACTCGTTTATTAAATAAATTCAATGCGCACAGACTGAAGTAGTTTAAGTCTTTGGCTCTTTTAATTGTGATGATTTTGGCTCACATTTAACAAAAAC